TGGGGACTCAACCCCCAGTTCTTTGTTATGCATGTCAATGTGGCCAGCTCACAAGGCCATGACGCTCGGGCTTGCGGTTCCCTGTTTATCTGCCTGGAGCATATGTGTCTCTCGGGAACATCTTGACGTGTTCAAGCCTCCTGATAGGGGACGGTGACGTGACGGTAACCCAAGGACGCAGTTATTACTCTCCCCTCCTCACTTTTGAGTAATTTCCCGCAGCTGTTAAAAAGATATATAAGGGGAACAAATTTGGCAATAAAGCGCGCACACGCTCCCTCCTGGATGAAGAACCTTGGTGTCCTGTGTATTTTTAACCCCGCCGTCCCTCCAAAAGCTGGGAGGTCCTTAGTTCTTGTCAGGCCACGTGGCACCAGGTGGGGAGTGTTTGGTGCTATCTATATTCCCTTGCTGCTTCCTTCTACCACAGGGCCATTGCACATGCTTTCCCTCTGACTTGAATACTCTTCCTTTACCTACTCCCTCCACACTACCATTTAGTGACCCCTTACTCTGATCCACCAGAGTAACTGCTCACATAGAATTTTACTTCTCTTTTTTAGGGTATTATTCTCATTACACATAGCTTGTGATTATTTCACTCTCCTCCTTAACTTTCAGGCCCATGAAAGCATGGACTGTTCTCATCATTGTACCTGTATTTTCATTTCATTTAGATGATGACTGAGCTTAAGAAACTAGTCAGGACCAGGTCGAGGTTTAGACACTTATCCATCTATACCTAAGTCCTGGGTCAAACACTTTCTGCCCTGGCTCCCTAAAAATATAGTAAGGTCTAAGAAAAGCATGGAACTAGTGGATCCCCAAATGTCCCCCAGAGAAGGTGACATTTGAGCTGAGCCCTCAGGGTGGAAATAGGAAGATATTCTAAACAAAGGTGACAAAACAAAATCACAGAGGTGAGAAAAAGATGCCATAGGACACATTGCTCAAAAAGTTTGAGGTCAGGTCACCAAGAAACTTCAGACCATATTGGGGACTTTGGGTTATCCCTTCTCAGTAGTGAGGAGCCATTGGAGGTTTTAGAGAAGAAACCAATGGGACTGTACCTATGCTGAGATAACCTTTGGCCCAGTGTAAAGAATGACCTGGGGACATTCAAATGTTCAGAGTAGGGAAAACAGGAGACTACTGCAGAGATTCATGGTAGGTATGGGAGAGGACTTCAGAGAAGCCAACATGGACAGGGAAAGGCCAGTGCCTTACTTCTGTCCCATGCCAGAGCTGTGTTGGCAGACTTACTCCAGAAATTTTGAGGGCCAGAGATTATTCAGGGCCCGATCTAGGGAAGTTATGTTCTTCCTGTAAATTATAAATTTATTGCAGCTGATTCTTCTGACTACTTCAAATACTTTCAATGACTGGGCACAGTGGCACATGCCTGTAATCCCAGCAGTTTGGGAGGCTGAGGCAGGAAGATTGTGAGTTCGAAGCCAGCCTCAGCAACTTAACAAGGCACTAAGTAACTCAGTAAGACCCTGTCTCTAAATAGAATACAAAAGAGCTGGGAATGTGGCTCCATGGGTAAGTTCAATCCCCAGTACTCCCCACAAAAAAGATAAACAAAGCCAGACACTAGTATAGACCAAAAAGATAGACTTTATTAAATAATAACTATAATTATATGTCATTTTATGATAGGGACATGTTCACAGAAATGTGTCATTAGGCAACATGATTGTTGTGCAAACATCTTAAAATGTACTCAGACAAAGACAGCTGTGGCTTTGCTAGATGATACAGTCTTATGGAACCCGATATATGTGGCTCATTGTTGACTGAAACTTCATCATGTGTCATGTGACTGTATTACAATCAGGAAGCAAAATTAATGTACTTCAACAAGACAAAAGTCAGGAGACATTTTTAAGTGCCAGGATGGGCTAATGAATAACATTTGGTCCATGTGACCAGGCCATTTGGTTTGCTAATGAACACTTATTCAGAAGAGGCACAAACTTCTTATATCTTTACGACATGTGATAGTGGTACAAGGTGCTCACCAAAGTTAGGCCTTCACTCTCCCATAGGAAGTAGGAGCCAGACAGGTAGTACCTCTTGAATGTTTGCATTTCAAAGAGCCAGTCCTGGAGGAGACTTATCTAGGTGGTAGTTTTAGGTGGTAGAAAATTCTTATCTCAAAAGGGGCCTGAGGAATCTCATTTATCCTTATAGCAAACAAGCTATGAAGGAGGTACTATTATGTCATCCATTCGCCAGTGAGACAGAAGCTCAGAGGGCATCTGGTTACTTGCCAAGGTCCCAAGTAAATGCCAGAAACAGCACTTGAACTCAGGTCTGTCTTATCTTGCCATACCCTGTTCATGAAAATATACTCAACATCACTGGAGAAATTGAAGAAATGTAAATTAAAACTACAAGGAGACATACCAAGAACCTATTAGAATGACTACCACCAGAATACCTGAGAGTACCAAGACAAGGATGTGAAGCAGCAGGAATGTTCCCATGCTGCTGCTGGGAATGCAAAATTATGCAACCTCTCTGCAAAATAACTTGGCACTTCCCCATGGCATTAAATGTACCCACTTCACATGGCCCAGTGGGAATCCCACTCTAGAGAAAAGAAAGCTTTCAATCATGCAAAAAAAAAAAACACCTTAAATATGAATGCTTATAGCAGCTTTATTAATAATCACCCCAGATTGGAAACAAGTCAACTAGCCTTCAATTGAGAATGGATAAGTAGCATCATACACTCAAATATATATCCACATAATGGAATACCACTCAGTTGCAAAAAAGAGTCAATCACTTCATACAACAACGTGTTTAAATTTCATAGGCATCATGGTGAGTGAAAAGCATATCCAAAAAAACTATATATCAAATGATCCCATTTATTTTGCATTCTGGGAAATTCAGAACTGTAGAGATAAAGAACAGATCAATGGTTGCTCAAGGTAGGGTAAGGGGAAGGTTTGACTCCAAAGGGGAAGCGTGAGGGAATTGAGGGGGTGGCAGAGCTGCTCAACATGTCATTTATGGTGGCGGTATGTATGTGCTTGTCAAAGCTCAATGAATTAAGCAATTAAAAAGGGATAATCTCACTGGTTCAAATTATGGGTCACCTGTGCATCCTAATTCTGATTCAGCATAATTGAATTGCTGAATCAGAAAATTTGGACATCGGAAATGGTGGGCCTTTTGGGTAGGAAGGACAGATTAAGCAAAGATAGGGATGAGGGCTGGTGAAGGCTGAGTGGAGGCTTGGGTTGGAGGATAGTGGGAAGGAGAGGAAGTAGCCAGGACCAGTTGTGAGCACTAGCCATCAGCCTGTGGAAGTTGTGGGGCTGGAGCAGATCATGGGGCCAAAGGGCCAGAGGCAGAGAGACCTTTCTGTCTTCACCTTTGCCTCCCAGTGCCCTCCCTTCAACAGCTAGGTTGCAGCCCTCAGGCATGTGCCCTGCTCCTTGGTGCCATCTGTGCAGGGGAATATGGTGGGTATGAGCATATCAGAATCAAGGAAGATAAAGGAACCAGCCATCAGATTTCAGAATCCACTGAGTAAACTTGCTGTCAAAATTTTGCAATAGATTGTTAAGTAAGGGTGCATGGTGAGCCAATGTGGAATCTCTGAGAATAAGGCCTACTGAAGGGCCACATTTCCACTTGGGGCCAGAATTTCTGGAAAATGGCCAATTAGGGAAATACTTTGACAAATGACTGGACATTGAGGACAAGCTAGGGCAACATTGTGCACACAGCGGTGGCAGCAGGGGTGATGCTTGGTCAGAATCTCTGTTAATGGCACGACACTGCCAGATGCAAAGAGGCTTGATGGCAGGACAATGCTATCCTAGTAGCATTGTGGGTCCTCATACTCAGCGAGTTTCAGACTTAGGCTAAAATTGCAATCAGAAGCTTGGAGACCCAGAGGGTAGAAAAATTTTCAGAGGCCGTAACACTGGGAGTAAGAATATATATGGAAGATGGAATTGACTTCCAAAGTTCTTTCTAGATGGGAAAGCTGTGAGATTGGATTTGCATTAGAAACTGATTGTACAACCACATAATGGGTACTGTGTTAATCATGTCATTCATGTTCAGTATTCTGATGCTTTGACACCTGGGGCCTTGTTGACCTTGGAAGGACTGTCCCTCCAAGTGTTAACCAATTCCTAGAGAGTAAACAACATGTCCACAAGCAAGCTTTCCAAATACAAACCAAGTGATATAAGCTCACATTCCAACCATCTCCTTTCCCAGGGTCTCACTCTCTGGGCCACTATCCATCTGCCTTAATTATCCCAGGACCAGGACCAGGTACCAGATGATTAAGGATTGTACTCAAGAGTATACTAAAAGTATTCAGACTAGCAAATCGTAAGCCTGCTTGCCCTACCTGGCCCATTCCTCCCCATTGAAGTCATAATAAATGCTCTTGGCTCGAGTTTTTTCCTTTCTTTACATCTCATGGCTGAACATGTTGTCTACCATGGTATAGCATCTCCCCTTATCAGAACTGAGTCATAATTTTTTTTTTTTTTTTGGCGCTGGGGATTGAATCCAGGGCTTTGTGTCTGCTAGGCAAGCACTGTACCACTGAACTATGCCCCTCATTGAAAAACCTAGTTTTTCAATGAAAATCATTTATCAATCTTTTCATCCCACTATACCTCCAATTTTCTACTGATATACTTTATTTTAGAATGGCAACTCATTTCTCAGTATCAGTTCATAGAAAAAGGCCTGGGGTTTTTGATTCAGAGTTCAAGATCATAGGAGATAGGAGTAAGGATAGAGTATCTATGTTGCTTTGTTGGGCCACCTGGCCTCCACTAGACCACCACCCCAACAGCTCCTGAGGAACAGGCCAGTTGTGATGGCAAGGCTGCAACCTGCTAGAGTGGGATCCCTATTTCTGGAGAGGTTGGACAGGGGTCTGACCAGGGAAGGCCATGAACTCACTGAGGATTCAGAGATCAAAGAGGAGGATGTGGAACTGAAAGATTTGCCTAGAATTTCTCCACCTTTTCCATGAAGGTTTGGTCTGGGAGTAGCACTTCCACGGTGTAGCTGATGTGTTTAGAATGAACCAGGCTGTAGGTGTTGTCGAACCTTAAGACATCTGCAGTGAGCAATAGACATTCAGACAGGATGCTCCATCTGGGACCCTGCCCTCCATGGTGGTAAATACATGTGTGGGTGCCCAGCCAGGGAACCATTGCCAGGGCTGAGAGCCCAGAGCCAGTCCCACACTGTGTCTATCAGAACCAGGGGCCCTTACCTGGTGGGAAGAACTGGATGACCTTTGAAGACTCCTCCCCTGCCCCCACCTCCAGGTGGAGCTGTTTCCTGCCAACACTCACAGACACCAGTCTTGAGGCAGGTGAGCCTCCCATCCTCAGGTACCAGGTGGGCATTGTAGCGCTGGCTGGGCAGCACCTCTGTCATCTCCCCAGCCCTCTGCCGCTCCCCCATCTTGGTCTTCAGGAAAACCCCAAAGCCAATGTCTCCACCATCCGATGCAAATTGCCACCTGCAACAGACAGAGCCCCACTGATGACCTCCTGCCCAGGCCCTGGAGCCTCTCCCAGTTGCACCCAGGTGTGGAGCGGTCGCTGTCCCTACCTGAGCACACAGCCTGGGAACAGGATCTCATTTTCCACATGCTGGGAGGAGCCACGGCCCATGGTCACTGTGTGCTCATACTGCATCCTCACCTGCTTGCACAGGTGGTAGCTCTTGGGCACCTCACCCCCGTAGTTGATCTGTGGGTGAAGGTGGGTGAGTAGACACTAGGCCACGGTGGTCTCCCCTCTGTCCCCATCCTCTGGGCACTCCATACCTTAGTTATGCACTTGGGGTTGCCATCAGGGTCAGTCAGAGTCCCCCCAAACTCCACAGGCAGCTGGTCGGGGCTGATGAACTTTGACAGCTCCTGCTTCCAGTTGTCTGTATGGGAACAAGAGGGGGCCTCCAAGGGGCTCAGGGATGGCAAAGGGGACCCAGCCCAGTTTTGACCTATATCCATGTGTTCCCCTCTCCTTGGAGTGCTTCTGGTCTTCATTCCCAGGAGCAATCCTGTCTCTAGCGATGGAAGCTGAGTAGCTCTGGGCCTAGGCTTGGAACTCAGCATGTGCTTCTGCGACTAATTCCTGCTCCAGGCCTGCACCATTCTCACTGCCCCTCTAGGCCTGACCTGTCCAGGTGTTGGCTCATTGATTGTCTTGACAGGGAGTCAGACTAGCAACTTCTGAAGCCTGGGGTCTAGGACAGGGAGACCGTGACCTAGGTTTTGCCATCCCTTAGAGACTGAACTACATTCAGTCATTCCCTGCTCTTGGCTCTCAGAGGTTTCTAGCAACCTCAGGCCAAGCTTGTAACAATTCCTATCAAGTTTGTTCACCCCAAAGGAACAAAGGCATTGCAGGAACAAAGTAAAAGAAAGCAGAAGTGAATACCTAACATACCATGGTACAGAAATGGACTGCTGAAGCATAAAAGTGATGAAATAATCAAAGGGGAAAATCCCCCAAATTTGACATGAAAACATAGCACTAAGTTAAAAATCAGATAATAGGACAAATATGAACTGGGGAAAATGTGTGCCATAAATATGCCAGGATTAGTCAATGTACTTAATATATAAAGAGCACTTATAAATAAACAAGAAAATACTTCTCTAGAAAAGGGGTATGAGACCACAGGAGGCAAAAAACAAGAAATTCAAATAACCAATTTGAAAAAGTCCAACAACACAAGTCATAAAAGAAATCCAATGTAAAAAATAATAATTATGGGGCTGGGGATGTGGCTCAAGCGGTAGCACGCTCGCCTGGCATGTGTGCGGCCCGGGTTCGATCCTCAGCACCACATACAGGCAAAGATGTTGTGTCTGCCGAAAACTAAATAAATAAATAAATATTTTAAAAAAAAAAAAAAATAATAATAATAATTATGGCCAGAGTCTTTTAAATTATTAATGCACAATTTTGACAAGAGTGTAGAGAAATGAGCACATTCATGCATAGTTGGTGAAGTTAAATTATGCATTATGCATGGAGCACAACATTGTTAAAGGTACCATAGGTCCTAATAAGTGTTTTTCTTTGAAGGAAGAAAAAAAAAATCCCTCTTGTTTTTATACAATGGAAAAAATGTGGATGTGTACAAAAATCTATAAAGATATTCACTATTGATTTGTTTCTTTTTTTTAATTTTTTATTGTTGGTTGTTCAAAACATTACATAATTCTTGATATATCATATTTCACACTTTGATTCAAGTGGGTTATGAACTCCCATTTTTACCCCATATACAGATTGCAGAATCACACCAGTTACACATCCATTGATTTACATATTGCCATACTAGTGTCTGTTGTGTTCTGCTGCCTTTCCTATCCTCTACTATCCCCCCTCCCCTCCCCTCCCCTCCTCTCTTCTCTCTCTACCCCCTCTACTGTCATTCATTTCTCCCCCTTGTATTATTTTTCCCTTTCCCCTCACTTCCTCTTGTATGTACTTTTGTATAACCCTGAGGGTCTCCTTCCATTTCCATGCAATTTCCCTTCTCTCTCCCTTTCCCTCCCACCTCTCATCCCTGTTTAATGTTAATCTTCTTCTCATGCTCTTCGTCCCTACTCTGTTCTTAGTTACTCTCCTTATATCAAAGAAGACATTTGGCATTTGTTTTTTAGGGATTGGCTAGCTTCATTTAGCATAATCTGCTCTAATGCCATCCATTTCCCTGCAAATTCTATGATTTTGTCATTTTTTAATGCAGAGTAATACTCCATTGTGTATAAATGCCAAATTTTTTTTTATCCATTCGTCTATTGAAGGGCATCTAGGTTGGTTCCACAGTCTTGCTATTGTGAATTGTGCTGCTATGACCATCGATGTAGCAGTGTCCCCCTGTAGCATGCTCTTTTTAGGTCTTTAGGGAATAGACCGAGAAGGGGAATAGCTGGGTCAAATGGTGGCTCCATTCCCAGCTTTCCAAGAAATCTCCATACTGCTTTCCAAATTGGCTGCACCAATTTGCAGTCCCACCAGCAATGTACAAGTGTACCCTTTTCCCCACATCCTCGCCAGCACTTGTTGTTGTTTGACTTCCTAATGGCTGCCAATCTTACTGGAGTGAGATGGTATCTTAGGGTGGTTTTGATTTGCATTTCTCTGACTGCTAGAGATGGTGAGCATTTTTTCATGTACTTGTTGATTGATTGTATGTCGTCCTCTGAGAAGTGTCTGTTCAGGTCCTTGGCCCATTTGTTGATTGGGTTATTTGTTTTCTTATTGTTTAATTTTTTGAGTTCTTTGTATACTCTGGATATTAGGGCTCTATCTGAAGTGTGAGGAGTAAAGATTTGTTCCCAGGATGTAGGCTCCCTATTTACCTCTCTTATTGTTTCTTTTGCTGAGAAAAAACTTTTTAGTTTGAGTAAGTCCCATTCGTTGATTCTGGTTATTAACTTTTGTGCTATGGGTGTCCTATTGAGGAATTTGGAGCCCGACCTCACAGTATGTAGATCGTAGCCAACTTTTTCTTCTATCAGACGGCGTGTCTCTGATTTGATATCAAGCTCCTTGATCCATTTTGAATTAACTTTTGTGCATGGTGAGAGAAAGGGATTCAGTTTCATTTTGTTGCATATGGATTTCCAGTTTTCCCAGCACCATTTGTTGAAGATGCTATCCTTCCTCCATTGCATGCTTTTAGCCCCTTTATCAAATATAAGATAGTTGTAGTTTTGTGGATTGGTTTCTGTGTCCTCTATTCTGTACCATTGGTCCACCCGCCTGTTTTGGTACCAGTACCATGCTGTTTTTGTTACTATTGCTCTGTAGTATAGTTTGAAGTCTGGTATCGCTATACCGCCTGATTCACACTTCCTGCTTAGCATTATTTTTGCTATTCTGGGTCTTTTATTTTTCCATATGAATTTCATGATTGCTTTCTCTATTTCTACAAGAAATGCTGTTGGGATTTTGATTGGCATTGCATTAAACCTATAGAGAACTTTTGGTAATATCGCCATTTTGATGATGTTAGTTCTGCCTATCCATGAACAGGGTATATTTTTCCATCTTCTAAGATCTTCTTCTATTTCTCTCTTTAGGGTTCTGTAGTTTTCATTGTATAAGTCTTTCACCTCTTTTGTTAGGTTGATTCCCAAGTGTTTTATTTTTTTTGAAGATATTGTGAATGGAGTGGTTGTCCTCATTTCCATTTCAGAGGATTTGTCGCTGATATACAGGAATGCCTTTGATTTATGCGTGTTGATTTTATATCCTGCCACTTTGTTGAATTCATTTATTAGCTCTAATAGTTTCTTTGTAGACCCTTTTGGGTCTGCTAGGTATAGAATCATGTCACCTGCAAATAGTGATAATTTAAGCTCTTCTTTTCCTATTTTTATGCCTTTAATTTCTTTCATCTGTCTAATTGCTCTGGCCAGTGTTTCGAGAACTATGTTGAACAGAAGTGGTGAGAGAGGGCATCCCTGTCTTGTTCCAGATTTTAGAGGGAATGCCTTCAATTTTTCTCCATTCAGAATGATGCTAGCCTGAGGCTTAGCATAGATTGCTTTTACAATATTGAGGTATGTTCCTGTTATCCCTAGTTTTTCTAGAATTTTGAACATAAAGGGATGCTGTACTTTGTCGAATGCTTTTTCCACATCTATCGAGATGATCATATGGTTCTTATTTTTAAGTCTATTGATGTGGTGAATAACATTTATTGATTTCCGTATATTGAACCAGCCTTGCATCCCAGGGATGAATCCTACTTGATCATGGTGCACAATTTTTTTGATATGTTTTTGTATCCGATTCGCCAGAATTTTATTGAGGATTTTTGCATCTAGGTTCATTAGAGATATTGGTCTGTAGTTTTCTTTCTTTGAAGTGTCTTTGTCTGGTTTAGGTATCAGGGTGATGTTGGCCTCGAAGAATGAATTTGGAAGTTCTCCCTCTTTTTCTATTTCCTGAAGTAGCTTGAAAAGTATTGGTATTAGTTCCTCTTTAAAGGTTTTGTGAAACTCTTCTGTATACCCATCCGGTCCTGGGCTTTTCTTAGTTGGTAGTCTTTTGATGGTTTCTTCTATTTCCTCAATTGATATTGGTCTGTTTAGGTTGTCTATATCCTCCTGACTCAATCTGGGCAGATAATATGACTTAAGAAATTTATCGATGCCTTCACTATCTTCTAATTTATTGGAGTATAAGGATTCAAAATAATTTTTGATTATCTTCTGTATTTCTGAAGTGTCTGTTGTGATATTGCCTTTTTCATCCCACATGCTAGTAATTTGAGTTCTCTCTCTTCTTCTCTTCATTAGCATGGCTAAGGGTCTGTCGATTTTGTTTATTTTTTCAAAGAACCAACTTTTAGTTTTGTCAATTTTTTCAATTGTTTCTTTTGTTTCGATTTCATTAATTTCAGCTCTGATTTTAATTATTTCTTGCCTTCTACTTCTTTTGCTGTTGTTTTGCTCTTCTTTTTCTAGGATTTTGAGATGAAGTATGAGATCATTTATTTGTTGGTTTTTTCTTTTTTTAAGGAATGAACTCCAAGCAATGAATTTTCCTCTTAGAACTGCTTTCAATGTGTCCCATAGATTCCGATATGTTGTGTCTGTGTTTTCATTTATCTCTAAGAATTTTTTAATTTCCTCCTTGATGTCTTCTATAACCCATTGATCATTCAGTAACCTATTGTTCATTCTCCAAGTGATGTATGCTTTTTCCTTCCTTCTTTCATCATTGATTTTCAGTTTCATTCCATTATGATCAGATAAGATGCATGGTATTATCTCTACTCCTTTATATTGTCTAAGAGTTGCCCTGTGACATAATATATTATCTATTTTTGAGAAGGATCCATGTGCTGCTGAGAAAAAAGTGTAACTGCTTGATGTTGGGTGGTATATTCTATATATGTCAATTAAGTCTAGGTTATTAATTGTGTTATTGAGTTCTATAGTTTCCTTATTCAACTTTTGTTTGGAAGATCTGTCCAGTGGCGAGAGAGGTGTGTTGAAGTCTCCCATGATTATTGTATGGTGGTCTATTAGACTCTTGAACTTGAGAAGAGTTTGTTTGATGAACATAGCTGCACCTTTGTTTGGGGCATATATATTTATGATTGTTATGTCTTGTTGGTGTATGCTTCCCTTAAGCAGTATGTAGTGTCCCTCTTTATCCCTTTTGATTAACTTTGGCTTGAAATCTATTTTATTTGATATGAGTATGGACACTCCTGCTTGTTTCCGAAGTCCATATGAGTGATATGATTTTTCCCAACCTTTCACCTTCAGCCTATGTATGTCTTTTCCTATCAAATGTGTCTCCTGTAGGCAGCATATTGTTGGGTCTTGTTTTGTGATCCATTCTACTAGCCTGTGTCTCTTAATTGGTGAGTTTAAGCCATTAACATTTAGGGTTATTATTGAGATATGGGTTGTTCTTCCAGCCATATTTGTTTATTTCTGTTACTAAATATGGTTTGTTTTCCTCTTTGATTATTTTCTCCCCCTTTACTGTCCTACCTCCCACTGTTGGTTTTCATTGTTATTTTCCATTTCCTCTTCCTGTAATGTTTTGCCGAGGATGTTTTGAAGAGATGGTTTTCTAGCTGCAAATTCTTTTAACTTTTGTTTATCATGGAAGGTTTTAATTTCATCTTCCATCCTGAAGCTTAATTTCGCTGGATACACAATTCTTGGTTGGAACCCATTTTCTTTCAGTGTTTGAAATATGTTATTCCAGGATCTTCTAGCTTTCAGAGTCTGTGTTGAAAGATCAGCTGTTATCCTGATTGGCTTACCCCTAAATGTAATCTGCTTCCTTTCTCTTATAGCTTTTAAAATTCTCTCCTTATTCTGTATGTTGGGCATCTTCATTATAATGTGTCTAGGTGTGGATCTCTTATGATTTTGCACATTCGGCATCCTGTAGGCTTCTAGGATTTGGGATTCTGTCTCATTCTTCAAGTCTGGGAAGTTTTCTCGTATTATTTCATGGAATAGATTGCTCATTCCTTTGGTTTGGAGCTCTATACCTTCCTGTATTCCAATGACTCTTAAGTTTGGTCTCTTTATGTTATCCCATATTTCTTGGATGTTCTGCTCATGGTTTCTTAACAGTCTTGCTGAGCTGTCTATGTTCTTTTCAAGTTGAAATACTTTGTCTTCATTGTCTGATGTTCTATCTTCTAAGTGTTCTACTCTGCTGGTAGTATTCTCAATTGAGTTTTTAAGTTGGTTTATTGCTTCCTGCATTTCTAGGATTTCTGTTTGTTTGTTTTTTATAACCTCTATCTCCCTGTATAGTTGATGTTTTGCTTCCTGGATTTGTTTGTGTAATTCATTGTCGAAGTGATCTTTCATTGTCTGATTTTGCTGTCTAATGTCTTCCTTGATACTCCAGATCATCTGAAGCATGTATATCCTGAATTCCTTATCTGACATTCCATCTGCTGCAGCTGTTACCTCTTCTAAAGTTGAGTTGACCTGCATTGCTTGTGGTCCTTTCTTTCCTTGTCTTTTCATACTGCTTGCGTTTCTTTCTGCTTGGTGAAACTGTTGTGTTTTTGAAAATTTTTTCCCCCTATATATTTATATTGCTCTTGTATAGTTGAAAAGTCTCCCTTGCAGGGTCGGGCGGCGGTCTGCCTACCTTGCAGGTGCGGGCGGCGGCTCTGCTCTGCCCTTCCTCCAATTGGTGTGAGGTGTCTACCACGCCCGCGGACCCCTGGGCCTGTTCTGCCGGTCGGTCGGTCGCAGGTCTGTCTACCTTGCAGGCGCGGGCGGCGGCTCTGCTCTGCCCTTACTCCAATTGGGGTGACGTGTCTACCTCGCCGGCAGGTCGCTGGGCTTATTCCGGGCGCGGGAGGCGGCTCTGCTCTGCCCTTACTCCAATTGGGGTGTCGTTACTACCACGCCGGCAGGTCACTGGGCCTGTTCCGGGTGTGGGCGGCCGCTCTGCTCTGCCCCTACTCTAATTGGGGTGACGTGTGTACCACGCCGGCAGGCCACTGGGCCTGATCTGCTGGTCGGTTGCAGGTCTGCCTACCCTGCAGGCGCGGGCGGCGGCTCTGCTCTGCCCCCCCTCCAATTGGTGTGACTTGTCTACCACACCCGTGGACCGCTGGGCCTGTTCCGGGCGCGGGCGAAGGCTCTGCTCTGTTCCTACTCCAATAGGGTGACGTGCCTACCACCCTGGCCAGCCGCTGGGCCTGTTCCACCGGTCGTTCGCAGGTCTGCCTACCTTGCGGGCACGGGCGGCAGCTCTGCTCTGCCCCTACTCCAAATGGGGTGATGTGTCTGTCGCACCGGCAGGCCACTGGGCCTGTCCCGCTGGTCGGTTGCAGGTCTGCCCACCTTTCGGGCACGGGTGGCGGCTCTGCTCTGCCCCTACTCCAATTGGGGTGTCGTGACTACCACGCCGGCAGGTCGCTGGGCCTGTTCCTGGCGCGGGCGGCGGCTCTGCTCTGCCCCCACTCCAATTGGGGTCACGTGACCACCACACGGGCGGGCTGCTGGGCCTGATCCAGGTGCGGGGGAAGGCTCTGCTCTGCCCCTACTCCCGTTGGGGTGACGTGTGTACCACGCTGGCAGGCCGCTGGGCCTGATCCGCCAGTCTGTCGCAGGTCTGCTTACCTTGCAGGCGCTGGCGGCGGCTCTGCCCTGCCCCTCCTACCACGCCCGCGGACCCCTGGGCCTGTTCTGCCGGTTGGTCGCAGGTCTGCCCACCTTGCGGGCGCGGGTGGCGGCTCCGCTCTGCCCCCTCTCCAATTGGGGTGACACGACCACCACGCCGGCGAGAGCCGCTGGGCCTGCTTCGGGCGCTGGCGGCGGCCCAGCTCTTCCCCTCTGGCTCGATGACAAAGCGAGAGAGACTCGGGTGTCTGTGACTCACCCTCCCTACCAGGAGACCAACTGTTTCTGTCGCTGCTGGTATTGATGAAGTTCTCTCCTCTGCCGCTTTCTGATGACATCAGATCTCTGCCATGTTGGTATCCTATGCGAATGGCAGCATTTCGTTCCCTTTGCCGGGTGACCAAAGCAACGGGTGAGTCCTGACCGGCCCTCACAGGCCCCGTCTCAGTCCTGTTGCCACTGCCCACGAAGGCTCGGTTGGTATTTACCTCCACAGCACTCAGCAGGACCCGGACTGAGAAGCAGTTTCTGCGGACTCCTTAGCCCTGGGCCAGAGCAGTTCCGGGAGCCGGAACTCGGCCGCTCCGTGCTCGTTGTATGCTCTGATAAGAGCAGGCTCCAAGAAGCAGTTTCCGCGGGTTATTTAGCACTGAGCCTGAGTAATTTGTCTGCAAGCCGCAGGCGAATGGCAGCCTGAAATTACCTGTTCTATGGCTGAATGAGCTGCGATCAGTCGAAAACAGGGATGGTGACGTCAGCTCTCCAAGATGGTGGCCGCTGGCCTCCTCTATGGTCTGACCGGTGTGGAGAACCAAATTGGACCGCTTCCTTCCCCCGTCTCGAACCCAGAATTCCTTGATTTGTTTCTAATGGTAAAAATAATACAACCTAAATGTAATTTTGCTAAAATGGAAAAATGTTTATCACATGATAAGTGATAACAAAATGGTAATAGGTGGGAAGCACATTTTAATTTTTGGAAGTATATTCCTTTGAAATAGACAGTAGATGTTACCAGTAGTTCCTTCAGTGACAAGATTTTCCCTCCTTCCTTATCCATTTCTGAATTTTCCATATTTCTAAATAGAATGAGTTGTATAACTTGGAAAAACCTGGGTCTCATTTTCCTCACTTTATGGATGAATGAGAAAACTGAGACAAACACAGCAAGTGATACATCTCTCTTCAGCTAGTAAGTTGCAAAGTCAACCCTTAAATCCAAACCTCCCAACCTCAAATCAGGGCCCCCCCCAATCCTGCCTCTGGAGATGACCCTCGAAGACCCTCCTGGTCCCTTTGCCCTCTTGCTATTATGCACATTACCAGAGCAGTTGCCACGAAGCTGTGGGCCCCAAAGCCTGGTGCCCTCAGATGCAGGTACCATCAGGTCTGCTGAGGGGCAGAACCTAGCTCAGGCTCCAGGCTGCAGAGGAGGCCCCAGACGACTCACTCACCTCCCAGAATCACCACCTTCCTGCATGTCTCCTTACTCATGTAGGACTTAATCAGGTTGAAGGCCACGGCAAACAGGCTGGGGGCTGAAACAGGCACAGAGCTCTCCCTTGGGCAGTCAGCTGGGGGAACTGGCTCTCCTGGGGTCTCAGGTGCCTACCCATCACCTCCACATCCCCCAATCCCCAAATGGGTTGATTCACTTACGTCTCACAATAATTATATGCTTTAAAATCTCAGGGTAATTTGCCTCGAGTGCAGAGAGAAACTGTGGAGTCAAAGACAGAAGTGAAATGTGTATAAATACTATCCCCTATGTCTGCCCCACCCTCAAGGCTCCAGAGGGCACACCCTTGGTTGTCCTTTACTGCCAGCTATCCAAGACATGCACACAGATGCTCAGGCACATAGTAGAGCCACACTTCCCAGTTGAGTCCTGGTCCCAGTCATCTCCTTGATGCCATTGATATATATATATATATATTTTTTTTTTTTTTCAGGTACCAGGGATTGACCTCAGGGGCACTTGACCACTGAGCCACATCCCCAGCCCTATTTTGTATTTTATTAGAGACAGGGTCTCACTGAGTTGCTTAGCAAGCCTTGCTAAATTGCTGAGGCTGGCTTTGAACTTGTGATCCTCCTGCCTTCACCTCCCAAGCTGCTGGGATTATAGGTGTGCACCACCGCGCCCAATCTCATTGGTATATATTCTTGATAGGTAGGTCCCCACTCATGCAGACAAGAAAATTCCCATTCAAGACTCTAGAAGGCTCCCTCCCCTATGACTCAGACAATAGTTCAACTTCAGGACTGAGACAGACTTGATGTATAATATTCAAAATTGCAAGACATGTTTTTTAAAATTAAGTTATTTTCATATCATACATCTTACCCTATCCAAGTGTAAAATTTGTGGTAAGCCATTCTTATAGACTGTGGCCGCCATTAGAAGATGGCGCCGGCTTCCACTGTGGCCTGTGATAAACAACTCCTTTTTTGGAGAGTTGGCGCGCAATCCCTTACCACCCTATGAGAGAGATCCACGTGGCAGCTTGGGATTGGTATGCGGGAGGCTTTATTAGGCTGTGCTTGGGCGCTCAGGGAGGGGGGGGGGGTCACTAGAAGATGATAAATGAAACAAAGCCTGAATAAACTGCTGAAAGAAGAATCCTGTGTCGTGTTTTCCCTTGCCGGCGAGGGGTCGCGACAAAAATTCAGTAGCTTTTAGTCACAAGGTTGTGCAACCATCACTGCTATCTAGCTCCAGAACATTTTTAACTGACCCAAAGGAAATCTTGTACCCATGAACAGTAACTTCCCATTCTCCTTCCCTCTACCCAAGGCAATCATGAGTAGACTTTCTGTCTCTTGAGCCTAGACTATTCTGGATGTTTCATCTACAGAAGCTTCTTGACTTTACAATGGGGTTGCATCTAGATAAACCCTATGTAAGCTGAATATACCCTAAGGGAAAATGCATTGAATCCACCTAAGCTGCAGGACATCCTGGCTTAGCAGCACAGAGCGAGAGTTGTTTCCCCTTGTGATCGCAGGACTGACTGGGAACTGTGGCTCACACAACTCAGCATCACAAGAATACTGTATCCCATATCACCAGCCCAGGAAAAGATCCAAATTCAAAACTTTAAGGACAGTTTCCAATGAATGCCTATTGCTTTTGCACCATGGTAAAACCAAATGATCATGAAGTAGAATCGTTTTAAGTGGAGGAACATCCCTTTTTTGTTCAGCTGGATTTCATTTCATACAATGTTTTTGTGGCCTTTTCTTTAAACAGATAGTAAGAATACTAATCAAGCCATTACAAAAAAAAAAGTTTAATTTAGGTTCTTTGCTATCCTGAGTGAAACAAAAAGAAAGGAAAAGTAAAACTTCTGCTTCTGTGGCACAGGCCTCTACTCACTTTTCCTTCCCTCCTCAGAACCCCTAGCACCTACTAACTCCCAGGAAAGAAGCAACAAAGAATGTCAGAGGCTTGAAGCTGGGGGGGGGGTGGGTAGCTCCTGGGGAGAGGAAGATCAGTGGGTATCTGGGAATGAGATGGGAGTATGAAAAAGGAAGGCATCCACAGGTCCCCTGGTAGGTCTGGGATAGACTTCATTGTGACCTGTTGGGTACCAGATGGTGATTTTGGGATGCCAAGTCTCAATGCAGGACTGTGGCTTTGACACATTGCTGCCAATGCTTGGGTGGATACTTACCTGGCAATGGGAGACAGGAGGACCACCCACATCAACAATTGGAGAGGGAAAGGCCCGGTATTTGGGCCACCTGGAATCCTGCTGGGGAGGAGGAAAGAGATCACCTCACTTCCTGAGCAAACTCCACTCCTGGCTTCCACAAATGCCGCAGGCTCAGCCCCTCCAAATCAACAATGGCTGTGATTTTCTCCACCTTCTTTCCCAACTGCAAGATAATATCAGGAGATGAGTGTCTGTGAGAGTCAGTGTCCCCCATGTCCCAGCCAAGACAGGGCTATGCTTAATCCTAGGGCATTGGTTTGTCTTGGTTTTTCCTGGCTTGGAGGTTTCATGTCAAGGAGAGAGGTGCAGAGAAGGGGCTATTCTAAGCAAGGCCAGAACCAGAATGGCCCAAGGCCTGCCTTCTTCATCCGTCCACTATAAGGCAAATCACTGTATCTCAGTTCCCTTCTCTGTATAGGGGGAATGAGATATCTCCCTCTTCAAATGAGGCTGCAGAGGGCAGGTTAGCCCAGAGGCTGAGCACAACCCTGGGGACAGTCAGGAGAGGAATGAGTTCTAGCTCAGCCGTGTGTTTTGTGGCCTTGGGTAGATCTTTGGCCTCTCATTCCATCCTGGGTGCTACTAGGAGCACAGGAGTCAAGGAGCTTTGGGAGGCAGATTCTGGATGTGGGTCCAGAATATGGGAAGGTGCATGGATGCTGTGGGGCAGCCTTGAGGGTGCCGGGCAGCAGGCCGTGTGTGTGGCGGGGGTGGGGGGATGGCAGGTGCTCACACCTTCTGAGTCTGCAGTTCACATTGGTGCAGGAGCAGCTCACAGTTCTGGAATTTGTCCCTGAGCAGATCCTGTTTGGTGGCGGAGAGGAAGAGGCCCTTGACGTCCAGGCCTGCTGCGATGTGGTACCAGAGAGGGCCACCCTCACGGTCATGGCCACAGATGCTATTAGCGCCCTATATCTTGACCACCTGGATGACCACAAGAAGGGGGCTCAGGGTCTTGGGTTGAGGGTCTGGGGAGCAGGGGCAGGTTTGAGGGAGACACACCTCAGGAGGCTGCCATGCAAGGATGTTGTCCAGGTCCTGTTGCTTCCGGAACTCCATGTGCTGCGGAGACAGGACAGGGGCTTAAGACTTGGCTTATCTCAAATGCTTCTACAGAGACCTGGGGATATCAGGCCAGGTCCTTCTTCCTGCAACAACTAGGGGCCAATTAGAGCATTCTCAGACCCCATCTACATAGAACTGAGGATGGGTACAGAAGGGGATACCATTCTGAGAGGGAAAAGGAAGAAAAGATCCAGAAAGGGCCAGGTGAGGCTTGATTCTCTCCCTGCATCCTCCATTTGCTCTGTCTGTTCCACCTATCCCATGGCCAACCAATATGGAAAACAGTACGGGAGCAAAAGTCAGCCAATATGGAAAACAGTACGGAGATTCCTTGGAAAACTGAGAATTAAAATACCATTTGACCCAGTTATCCCTCTACTCAGTGGGCTATCCTCAAAGGACTTAAAAACAGCATACTACAGGGACACAGCCACATCAATGTTTATAGCAGCACAATCACAATAGCTAAACTGTAGAACCAACCTAGATGTCCTTCAGTAGATGAATGGATAAAAAAAATGTGGCATATATACACAATGGAATATTACTCAGCAATAAAAGAGAACAAAATCATGGCATTTGCAGGTAAATGTATGGAGTTGGAGAAGATAATGCTAAGTGAAGTTAGCCAATCCTCCCAAAAAAACAAATGCCAAATGTTTTCTCTGATATAAAGGAGACTGATTCATAGTGGGGTAGGGAGGGGGAGCATGGGAGGAATAGATGAACTGTAAATAGGGCAGAGAGGTGGGAGGGGAAGGGAGGGGGCAGGGGGTTAACAAGGATGGTGAAATGTGATGGACATCATCATCCAAAGTACATGTATGAAGACATGAATTGGTGTCAACATACTTTGTATACAAACAGAGATATGAAAAATTGTGCTGTGTATGTGTAATAAGAATTGTAATGCATTCTGCTGTCATTTATTTTTTAAAAAATCAATTAAAAATTTAAAAAAAGTCAAACCCTATTCCTTGGACTCTAGTCCCTTTTAGACAAAAAAACCTAGACTCTCTATGGAAGCCTGCAGGGCATGGCTGATGGGCCTGGATCACCCATGCAGCCTTGTCTCTCTCATTGTTCTCTACAATGTGACCTCCCTGTACTTCTGGAAGCTCTTGGATTGTGCCTTCTGCTTCTTCTCGTCACATGCCTGCCTCCTTTGGGGCATTCATGCCCCAAATGACATACCCATGACCAACCCTTCTTCCTTCCTTCCTTCCTTCCTTCCTTCCTTCCTCCCTTTCTCCCTCCTTCCCTCTCTCCATCTCTCCTGTTTTACTGTTTTCATTGTACTTCCCACTCTCAGGAATTCTCTTATTTGTCTAGTTTATTTGTTCATCTGTTTTCTTTTTTCTCTCTCTTCCTGTCACCTCACTCTTCTCCTAGCACAGAGCCAGGTTTACTGTCAGGACTGAATAAATGCTGAATGAATGAAAGAGTGAATTTGTGTCTTGAAATAAGGCTTGAAATAAGAAGCAGGACCAGGCTAGGCTGGAGGATATTGCACTCACCTTCCGCAGCATGTCCTCTGATTTTTTCAGGTCAAAGCTCTGAGCTGCAACAAGAGGACAGGACCACGACTATAGAATCCTAAGGCTTGCTTTGGGCATCAGGAAAGAGCAGCCCTCCCTGCCCCACTCTCCAGGCTAGTTTTGTCTCCTCTTATTCAGAGCACCCTGATATCCACACCTGGAGGCACAGGGGGCTCAAGCAAGAACCAACGTACCCTTCCTGAGTCCCAGGAAAATTTGGTTCAGACCACTTGGTTCCCTAGGCTGATGATGGTGGAAATGTCCCTCTCTGGGCCTTGGAAGTGGTGGGAAGTGAAACCACTAGCCAGGAGGAAGGTAAGAAAAGAAGGTATCCAAAGAAACAGAAAATTAAGTCCCTGCCATATCCACTGCTACTGCCAGGATCTTGGGGGCCCTTTTCCTGTTGTTCCAGAAAAGTCAGTGAGAAAGCAGACCCTCCAATCTTGTGGCTGAGAATTGTTTAAATCTGCAAATCACAAACTTTTTGGCCTCAGAAACCCTTTATGTACTTAAAAATCATCAAAGATGGCAATGAGCTTAAGTTCATTTGGATTGTATCTGCCCATATTTACCATATTAGAAGTTAAAATTGAGAATTTTTTAAATACAAGAATTCATAAACACATATTCCCTTTTGTTCAAAGCAATGATGTTATTTCACATTGCAGAGACTCTGGAAAATCTGGTATAAGAAAACAAGAATGAAAAATGCAAATAATGTTAGAGAGTTATTAAGAAAATAGTTAAGGGTGGGGGTTGTGGCTCAGTGGTAGAGCGCTTGTTTAGCATGCATGAGGCACTGGGTTTGATCCCTGGTACCACATAAAAATAAAAAATTAAAAAAAATAAAGGTATCATATCCATCTACAACTGAAAAAATTAAAAAAAAATAGTTAAGACATTAGGAACTAATGATTCAGAAAGATCTTGGAACACTTTGGGTTTCCTGGAGCATATTTTGAGAACCACTGGTTTAATTTGTGAATAACTTAAAATACATAAAGAGTACAAATCAAAACTTATTTTCCAATATTATTACCAACCTTCAGTATGACTTCGGGACAATCTTTTCTCTCTTGTAGTGCAGTTTCCTTACCTCTCAATTAAGGCTGTCCATTACCCAAAAGCCCTACTTCTTAGGATCAACCTGACAAAAGCATTTGCATATATGTGCAGAAGGGAAGTGTACAATGTTATCCCTTCTGAAGTATTTGTAATAAAAAAATGCCGCAGTCTGGCTGGGCACAATCAGGAGCCACTTGTCAAAAGAAACTAACTTTATTTTTAGAACCACACACGCCAAACAAAACAGCCTCTCAGGAAAAACCCTCAGAGCCTCAACTGCCACCACTGGCTTTCCACAAGACTCTCTCTCCCCCACAAGCTTCTCTCCACCTCCCACAATCCTCCTGCTCTTGAGGCCGATTGGCTGGGTCACGTGGGCGGAGCCAAAAAAGTCCCCCAATGAGCAGCTCCGTGGTCTGAAAGGGCAGGGAAACAGCCCAATGAGCATCACCGCAGAGGAGCCAATCAGCTAGATGTTGCTGGGGCCGAGGAGCCAATCAGCTAGATGTTGCTGGGGCCGCTGTGAGCCAATCATCAGCCAGCAGCTGGAAGTTTGCTGGCAGCTGGAAGTTTGCTGGGGCCCCTTTGGCTGTGGCTCTCAACATCTCCCCCTCTCTGTTTAAACAACAAGCATGTGGCTTAGGGACCGTGCCTGTTAGGCAGTCCAATTCAACATATGGTCCTTACCCGTCGTCATCGGATGAACTGACCTCTAGGCGTCAGCCTCCTGTCTTAGGTTGGTACCACTGCAATTGGATCATACCCGTCACTGACTACCGGTCCAGCATACAGCCATACTTGTGGATAGGCCTTTGCACCTGTGGGGGGGTGACGTTCTTTGCCTCACTTCTGTTGGCCCCCAAATTTTAGACCATCACTAGTAGAGGAGGATGCAAAATGCCATGACATTAAGCCAATTGAGGGCTCCTTTGAAAAATTGTACCACCGGTGACACCATCAGCAAAAATACTCCAGCACTATCACAATTCGCTGTACCAACAGATAGTTCACAATGCATACAGGTGAGCTCACAATGTGTCCAGGCAAGTTCTGCAAGCAGTTCAGTGATGGCTATTGTAGAAGCTGTAGATTGGTTTTATCTTTGACTTCACCAGCACTGGGATGAAGATAGGAATTCTGGCAATAATGGCTAAAGAAAAAATTATGTAACATTACAGAAGGCACTAAAAGAAAACAATTTTCTTAACAATTTACATTATCTTTAAGAGAATTATTAAATATAATGAAAAGGAAAGGTGAAAGTAAACAAACAGATCTGTTAACCTTCTTTTTTGTTTACATATTAAAACAATCCTCAACAGTTGTTTACCCAATTTAAATTAAACCATATAAATCACGTGGAAAAAAAATATTTGGATCCATTTTATCATGAGCGCTCATCATATATGATATATGGACATACGTACATTCAAACATATAACACAAAACACAAGTGTGCACACATATAATACATACAACACATAACATTATAGTAAAGGCCTTATAACTTTTTACAGGTGAAATTTCCATTGCAATGTTTAAAAACTCTATAGTCAAAAAATAGAACTGATCAGCAAAACATTAACCTAGGTCTGTATGAGCTCAAAAAACAAAATAGAACTTCATGATATGGCAAAGGGCAATAATAAAATCGATATTGAAAAAAGCATCCTGGTTCTGTTGCAGATGTAAGAATAGCCAAACTGGAGTTTTGGATATCAGTTGTTATGGATTTGAGCCAAATCATCTTCTTTTTGGTCTGTAGAAATCGCTTTAGTTAATCTTTCTGGAATCCAAATCGGCTGCTGTTCTCCCTGTGGAAACACATAAACAGACCCCCGACTCCAGACAATCACTGGGTCAGGACCTTGGTTAATCTCTCTGGAATCCAAATCGGCTGCTGTTCTCCCTGTGGAAACACACAAACAGACCCCCGACTCCAGACAATTACTGGGTCAGGACCTTTCCATTGTCCTGTTAGAATATCCTTCCAAAGTACCTTGGGCTTATGCACATTTTTTGGACACATATGCCTTTCCGCAGCACTAAGTCCTGATGAATCCAAATTTAAAAAGTTTAGAGTAAAAAGGGTTATTTTAAGTTTATCTTTGGGGAATATATACCCCTTCCCAATTCCTTCTTTTTGCTTTAATAAGTACATTTTAATAGTTTGATGAGCTCTTTCAACTATGCCTTGTCCCTGTGGATTGTATGGGATTCCTGTTATATGAGTAATGCCAAATGTTGAGCAAAATTGTTTAAAAGAGGTAGAAGTATAACCAGGGGCATTATCTGTTTTTAACTGTTTTGGAACACCCACAGTGGCAAAATTTTGTAAGCAATGAGCTATAACATCTTTAGTTTTTTCTCCGGCATGAAGGGAGCCCATCAAAAATCCAGAAGAAGTATCAACTGTAACATGCAAATATTTTAATTTTCCAAATTCTGGCAAGTGTGTGACGTCCATCTGCCAAATATGGTTAGGTATCAATCCTCTAGGATTGACTCCAAGATTAACTTGTGGTAAAAAGGTCACACAATTTTGACATTGTTTTATTATTTGTCTAGCTTGTTCCTTAGTTATTTTAAAACGCTTTTGTAAAGTATTAGCATTGACATGGAACTTTTTATGAAAATTTATAGCTTCTTCTAGTGTAGAGAAAATATGTATGTCATGTGTAGTTTTATCTGCTAAATCATTGCCCAAACTAAGGGCTCCAGGCAATCCTGTATGTGCCCTGATATGTCCTATAAAGAATGGATCTTTTCTGTCCCAGATTAGACTTTGTATAGTGGAAAGCAAAGAGAAAACAGTAGAAGAAGGGGAAATCCTACCAGCATCTTCAAGAGATACTATAGCATTAACTACATACTGACTATCAGAAAATAAATTAAATACAGAATCTTTAAACATCACAAAAGCTTGTAAAACTGCATTAAGCTCTACCTTTTGAGCTGATTGTTTGGGTACTAAAAATGTAAAAGTTTGATCAGGGGTAACTACTGCTGCTGTACCATTATTTGACCCATCAGTGAATATATTTGGAGCATTCATGATAGGTGTTTTTCTTGTCATTTTTGGAA